TGATCTCATAACCATCGGAGTACTCAATGGATGTGCTTTATATATCCATATAGAATCACTTTAAAATATTTTCAGTGTATGCTGATTGATGGACAAAAATTTCATCTTTCATATACTCAATTTGTAGACCAAGACAAAATTTTGTCTTTCCAAGATCTTTCATTTCAAATTATTTCTTTAAACAGTCTACTGCTTTAGGAAGCTCCCAAGAGTTCTAATGATATTTAAATCATCAACATACATGACGATTATAACAAATTTAGATCTTTTTATAAGGACAAATTGAATCATTCTTGTATCATTCCTTCAGCAGGTACTCACTCAGGCGATTATACCGCATGCGCCCTCATTGTTTCAATTCGTATAAGGATTTTTGAAGCTTTATTTAATAAATTTTTTGAAAACCTTAATATGCTTCATAACAATTTAAATCCTTCAATGATTTCTATTATACGCATATCAAGTTTTTCATGTATTACCAGATTAAAACTTAAAATGACTACATCCACTATAGGAGAACAAGTCTCTATATAATCAATGTTAGGATATTTACAAATCTTCTTATGATACAAGTCATCTTTATGTCTATCGATTTGACTTTGTTTTGCACAAGAATACATTTATACCTCCACTGACTTTATACTTTCAAGTGTTGGGACTATCCGTCTAACTTCACATTTTTCAGATGAAATTAATCTTGATTGCGTATTTTTTATTTTTATTTTGGCTAATTATTTATCTGTCTACATTCCATGACAGATTTGAGCTCAAGATCCTCGTCAATATTAATAATATTGAGTGCTATATTATATTAACAACATCATCGACGATCATTTTATATCGGTTCCATTATTACCCAATAAAGACATAACTTATTGAGATCTCTTTATGTTATTATTTTCAGATACCCGAGCCTCTCCCATGAGGTCTTATGAAGTGTTATGTCATGGTGCTCTTCTAGAGCACTTGCCTATTTATTATGACCATCTTGAACATTTGCTCCTCTCCTTCTTCAAGGAGTTTTATCTTTGGAACCGATTAGTCTATTACGCTTTATGCGTGCCATAAAATCTGTCCATCAGGGACGCTATTCTATTTGGAGCATTAGCAGCTAAAATATAACATTTAGCTTTGGGTCAGCAAATGCGTCTGACAATAATTTACAAATAGATTATCACTTGAACTTCAAGTTCATATTTTCTTGTACGAGGATCTATATATATTCATAATAATTCATTTCACGTATCAATTTCTCTGCTGCCCATTTTCTTCCCCTAATGTTGGGATTACCAACACATTTCCCAACCTTCTTTAGGAACCCATCTTTGTGCATTGTGGTGGCATAATTAAATCATATAGCACATTCATATTTCTAGATGGAAATTATTTGGTTCTTGACCTTGAACTGATTGTGATAGGGAGAACTTTTCATAACTTGGCTAGATGCGTACAAGTGCTGCTATATATATATATATATTAAACAATACATCTCATACCAAATTTCGTTTTGGGAGTTTTGTTCTCCTAACCAATGGTTTAGTTATAATAGGAGGCATACAATTTCTGCTAAACAAACTTGGATTTAAACTAGTATTATCAAGATAAATAATCATAATTTATATTTTGGAACTTTGCTCTAATAATTTGAGCAAGTAACCTTGCAACAGTCAAACTGCAAGTTGAATAAATACACATGTGACCATAGAATAGATGCATTTATTAAAATCATATAATAATAAAAGGTCCACATGGCAGGTGACTAGACCCATATATTTATCACATTTTATTTGCTCCAGAAATCAAGGGATTCAATCCTAACCTTAACTGGTATATCATGAGAATAAACAGCACAAGATAATTCTTGAAGAATCTTTTTTTTTTCTTTAATATATGCCAATGTAATTCTCAATTAATTTTTGCATCATAATTGAACCGGGATGGTCAACCGGTCATGCCCATTAATATTTATTTCAGTAAAGCTCTAGTTTACTTGTGGATTGTGATTGCATTATCATGCATACACTTGTGTAGTACAAATAGAAGAAAAGTCGGGTAACCTTTCATATTTACCCCGTATGATTATAGTAATATAAATATATTCAATCTTCTTTTCATTTATAGTCTCAATATGCCAACCACTTTGGCTAATATATTTGTAAATCAAAATGTTTCTTTTGAGACTTACTACAATATTAATGTCATGAACAATTTTATTCATCCGGGTAGTAACAAATTAGTTCTTTTAGAGCTCTTAACTACTTTTGTACTACAAGATCTTGTGTCACACCATCCATATAATGAATGTATCCTTCACAAAGAGAATCATATCATAATAATTGGCATGTTCAAAATCATCATAAGAAAAATAATTTCTTGCTTTAATTTTGCTTTTAATAACTTTCATAAGGCATGACAAAATATTTTTTGGCGTATCACATGTATGCGACCAATGATATACTCATGTAACTACACAGTAATATTCATTATCTTTCTTTGTCTCAAACCTCCCTTAGAGGTGAGTTGTAGTATTTATCCAACCATGAACAAGTACATTATTATGCTTAATCTTTATCATATATATATATATTTTCACATTCACTTTCAGGAACGAGTTTGCATTCTCAATATTTATCATAAGTTACATTCTCTTCAAAGAATAGAGTATAATCATAGCGATGTGCTTTATTATTTTTTTGTCATACCAATTTGATGGTAAACATTGCCTTGTTTTCCCTTTTTATAATTATCATAATGATAACTATTATTATTTTGGTCTTTCGCACGCCCACACTCATTGCTCAACTACTTGTATGTATTTAGACGTATCATGCACTGCTATCACATTCACTTCAAGAATGAAGCAAATCAAGTGGGACAAGCTTCATGCTTTTTCATGAAAAATACATTATTTTTCTTTAGTTATTATTATTATTATTATTATTATTACTATTATTATTATTACTATTATTATTATTATTATTATTATTATTATTATCATCAATATTATGCATTAGGACTCAAACCAAATGCTTTACCCATATAAAGGCATCTTAGGCCATAATGAGTTGGGACTCAAACCCAACGTCTTATCTCATCATGTGCATCAGAACTTATATCTGATGTCTTGTTCTCATAATAGCGTATTAGGCTTTAATATGTTGGAACTTGAACCCAACATTTTATTATTATGGTGCAGTGGGACTAGAACCTACCGTCTTACCTCAACCAATGGCATATATAATAGGCCACACAGCACTAAGATTCTTCCTCGAGCCTCTCGGGCATACTGTTAATAGTGCTCATTGGATCTTTGGTCACTAAGTATTTAGATCCTCTCAAATTCTTCTATGATAGACTAACCACTTCAAAATAAATGCAAAGCAAGCATTGTTAGCATAACAACATATTATAATGTCTTCTCGGAGGCAACACACATAGAGAACTTTGAGCGGGAGATCTTTTATTATGTCGTTTCGTTTTTTGCTAGCAATTATGCTTCCAACAAATATTTATGGCTTAAGAAATATATTAGTCATAGTATTTTATTATAAAAAATATACTCTATAAATTCATTAACTAAGACTAGCAGATATCCATCATATATTATCATGTCAATTAGAAAATACTATCTTGTGACAAAACAATCAAAGTACTCCTAGTTAGAACGCTCCCCAAGTTTCTGGATAATGACCAAATTAATGAAAGGTCATCAATAAAAATAATGAACTAACTTGGGAGCATGGACATAATTTTTATAGTATTTTTAGGATCAATACACGTGATTCAATTAATTATAAATACACATATGACTAATGTGTTGGGGTAATTAGAATGACGGTAAATCAAATATCATTATTAAAGAAACTTATAGTTGGTCCTAGATATAACATAAATGGAGAAAATTATTTCCTTTAAGTATTAACAAATGATAAGTGCAAACTCATACTATGACAAAGGGCATCAACAACGTCAATGGCAAAAGAAGCCTCAGTGTTAGAGATACAAACTTTAGTTAATGGCTCAACCATTTCATAACTTTTTACTTACTGTACTAATCACCATAACTCACCATAAGGTGTGTTAGCTTTGTATTTTTTCTGGGAATGAAACTGGATTGCCTTGGGGAATCCAGTGGCGACAGAACAAAAATAAATAGAGGCTCATCCGCTTCGTGTTCATATTTTGTGTGCAATTCATGCTGATAACGTGTTATAAAATAAAAGTAATTTAGTAAAATATGAACAAGAAATATTGTTATGAAATAAAATCAATTTAATAAAACATGAACAAGAAATGGAGATATAGAGAAGGAAGAGATATTCTTCTTCAATTGTGTGTATTTTCCTATATATTACAAAACCTTTATATAAGCATGAAAAGTGAAGAATCACTATTGCAAAATATGTCATTGAACATGTCATTAAGCATTTGAGAGGAAGATCATGGAGGAGGTTATGGAGTTACAATAATAACTCCATAATTATTAGAGTATTGAGAGTTATGGAGATAATGGAGAAGAGTAGACATCCACCATAATTTAATTTTTTTATAACAATTTTAAAATTTTTTAGGCGACCAGACTCCACTAAATACTTCCACTAAATACTCCCTCGGCCTCATATTATGTGTCATGTTTTTCTTTTACACGTCTCTTAAGAAATATTAATTAAGAAACCTTATTTATGTCTTAAGATATAATCTATCTTCATTGAATATTTATTCTATTTATGTGTTATTTTCATATTCAAGAACAATTATTACTAAGAGTAAAAAAAAAAAAAAATAATCAATTTTATCATGAACTTTAAAATGACAAATAATTTGTGACAACTATTTTTAGTAACAACGACTCAATTGTTAATATGAGTTGAAGGAGTACTTTTTAAGGGTATAATGACCGTTCAAATTGGAAAGGAGTTCTTCTTAAATTAGCTTCATTGAATACCATGGGCACCACTCACGACGCACAGTTGTTTATTTCATTGGTGATTAACCCATCCCCCAAAATCCACAAAAGGTAGTTACGAGGAAGTGTTTGGTACGAATAGAGTTATTGCTTTAGGAAAATGTAAGTAAAAAATTATTTTTTACTTTCCGATCAGCCAATAGGAATTGAATCTTACGAGTTTGAGTTTCTAAATTTTTTAAGTTATTAAATTTTAAACTAATAATTTATTTATATTCCATAAATTTACAAAACAAATGAACAAAAGCTACTATGTTCATTCACGCAGGTAAACGAAGGGCTAGCTTTAACTAACACTTAAATTATATTATTAATCTTTGGGATACAAAGTTTTTATCAAAATATTTCTTATTTACTATTATTATTATTTTTTAATCTTAGGGATCAAAAATGCTATTATCTCTAAAAAGTAAGGAAAGAAATTAGGAAAAAGAAACCAAAGGGCTGAGTTTCAATTACAGGAAATCCTCCTAGTTTGCCATTGCTTTGAGCTCTCTGCTGCAAAGAATTTTCAATTTTAGCCTTCCCATCACCCATCAAAGTATTTTTTTCTTCCAAAATAGCTAAAATTGCGATAAACATATCCTTAAAGACTCCTCATAGACTCCTTGAAGAAAAGTTCATTACTTTCTTAAAATCATGTAAAACTATAAAGCAAGTCAAACAAATTCAAACACAAATTATAACCCAATGTATTGGCTATACTCAATACATTATTCCTCCTCTTTTGTCTAAATGTATGGAATTAAGACAAATTTTCTATGCCCACCATATGTTCGATCAAATTCCTGAGCTAGATGCTTCTCCTTTTAACATAATATTCAAAGGGTATCTCCAGAATGATATGTACAGAGAAGTAGTAGTGTTGTTTCGGAGAATGCTGGACGAAGATGTTAGGCCGAATTGTTTTACTTTTCCTATGGTTTTGAAGTCTTGTGTAAAGTTGTTAGCTTTGGTAGAAGGTGAAGAAGTGCATGCTGTTGTGCTAAAGGTTGGATTTTTGAGTAATAGTTTTGTGGGTACTACGTTGATCGATATGTATTCGAGTGTGGGAAGAGTGAAATGCGCTTATAGGGTGTTTAATGAGATGGTTTTACGGAATGTGTTTACATGGACTTCTATGATCAATGGATATGTTGCGAATGGCGATTTGGCGTCCGCAAGAATGCTTTTTGACTTGGCGCCTGAGAGAGATGTTGTATTATGGAATAGGATGGTTACAGGATACATTGAATGTGGGGATATGGTAGAGGCTAGAAAGCTTTTCGATGTGATGCCAAATAAGGATTTAATGTCCTGGAATACTTTGTTGAATGGATATGCTAATAGTGGGGATGTTGAGGGGTGTGAGAAGCTTTTCGAAGTGATGCAAGAAAGAAATATTTTTTCCTGGAATGGTTTGATTGGAGGTTATGCTCACAATGGACGTTTTAGTGAGGTTATTGATGCCTTTAAGAGGATGCTAAATGAGTCTGATGTGCAGCCTAATGATGCCACTCTTGTGAATGTGTTGTCTGCTTGCACGAGATTAGGTGCTCTTGATTTGGGTAAGTGGGTGCATGTATATGCCGAGAGCAATGGCTATAAGCACAATGTGTATGTTGCCAATGGGTTGATTGATATGTATGCAAAATGTGGGGTGGTTAGTAATGCAATTGATGTGTTTAGGAGCATGGATAAAAGAGATTTGATTTCCTGGAACACGATCATTAATGGCTTAGCAGTGCATGGTTGTGGTAGTGATGCCTTGAGTTTGTTTGCAGAGATGAAGAATTCTGGAGTAAAACCAGATGGAATTACTTTTATTGGTGTCTTATGTGCGTGTTCTCACATGGGTTTAGTTGCAGATGGTTTTGCCTATTTTAACTCGATGATGAATGAGTATTCCATCGTGCCTCAAATTGAGCATTATGGTTGCATGGTTGATCTGTTGGGACGAGCTGGTCTTTTGGAGCAGGCGGTGAATTTTGTGGAGAAGATGCCTGTACGAGCCGATGCTGTCATTTGGACTGCATTACTTGGTGCATGTAGAATATACAAGAACATTGACTTTGCGAGACTAGCTCTTCAGAAACTTATTGAGCTTGATCCGAAAAACCCTGCAAATTATGTTATGCTTGCAAATATCTGTGGTGATGCTCGGAGGTGGAAAGATGTGGCAGAGCTGAAAGTGGCAATGAGGGACACTGGGTCCCGGAAGGTACCAGGATGCAGCTTGATTGAGGTTGAAGATGAAGTGGCCGAGTTCTATTGCTTTGATGAGAGGCATTCCAAGTCAAAAGAGATATATGGAGCCTTGAGAGGATTGATGAAGGCATTAAGATCATCTGGATATGTTCCGGACTTCATGGAGGTTGGTCAAGAAAGTCCAGGATTTATAATGGATTAGAAGTTCTTGGTTTCTTGAAGATATCGCGATTTCTTTGATCAAAATCTCTTTAAAATGTTTCATCTGTATCACTGCAGTCCAAATCTCTTCCACTTCAGCCTTCAGATGTTGGAAAATGAGGTGTAAGTTTGTCTCATCTTCTCGGTCGAGTGCATCGATAGTTTCAAAATACACTAGTTTTTCTTTGATATTCATTGGTCTATAAGACGTTGAACACTTGAGTTGCTACATGGCGCACCAGTCACATTACTTCAATGTAAGCGTAATGTAGATAGTTACACTAGTTCAAAATCTAACTTCTGGAAGCTTACTTTTTGTAAAGAACTGGGACTGTCCGATTCTCACTTATGCTTTGAGGAGGGAAGGAACAAGCTTGTCCAATTCTCACTTAGACTTTGAGGAGGTAAGGTATTTTGTCCCCCTCCTTCATGTATTCAACTTTAGATCTTAATATACAAGATTGGGGTCAATGCCAAATCCCTCATCACCACTGGTGGGTAAAACCTGAGGTTGATTGGATTTAATTTTAAAAAAAAAGTTGTATATTTCAATTGCTTATATCATGGAATACCCATAGTACTGCACATCAACTTGCTAGATTTTTCCATTAAGTGCCTTCTATAGAAGCTGAATAATAATGTTTGAAAGCCTCTTCAATATTTTAATTTTTATTTGACCTGGGAAGATGAAACAAAAGCGGACTTGTATATAATCTGAAGTTGGATAGTCATTTCTAGGTATGATAGATGAAAAGCATTACTATTCTAGTTAACATGATAAGCAAAGGGTTTGCGATTTCATGAGTTTCTTATTTTTTTCCCAACTTCAAGGGTTTACTCGGTTTTCCCGCTGTTGGATCAGTAATATCTTTTTGATATATGGTGTTTGGATCAGTAATATAACATTCAAGCTATCAAGCATTTGACATGTATTATATGCTGGTGTGCCTTTTCTTTTTCTTTTAATTTTCCGTGCTCTCCCCACTTGTGGGATTACACTGGGGTGGTTGTTGTTGTTGTTGTTGTTGTTGTTGTATTTCCCCTGCTCTCTGTTCCCTCAAAAGACTTGAATTTATAATTATTTTTCTGCTTGCTTGACCAGATGGAACAACGAAACGTACATTCAAGCATATATGTTGTCAGTCGTTGGAATCACAGATAACATACAGGCTGTTGGTTTTGGCCGTAAATTCGTTCTTGTTTTGCATCTTAACTTCCTCCTGAGCAGATCATCCATATTCTTATCATTTGATAAACTGGCATTTCACTTAAAAGTCGATTCGACAGGCATGTTTCAAACACAGGGCAGTTAGATCATTACGGTTAACCTGATAAGGACTGGATTGTTGTCATGCATCAGAATTAAGAGTAAGAATGCATCTTACTGTGACCTTTATACATGTATCCTTTGAATTACTTGAAATTGTTGAATATTCTGTTCAACTGCTGCTTTGTCATTATAGTGTGAACACACATTATACATGGTGGAGAATATTTCTTCTAAGTTTGTGAAGTGTATATCTGTCCTCAAATCATTTATTATTGTGAGGGATGAAAGTTCATTCTCTCGAGTACAGAACACTTACTGCTGTCTCATAATGTGCCATCGGACAACTTTTCGATAGCCTTTAGCAAAAAGGACTGAAATCTCAAGCGTGTCTTCTAAGTTGAGCTCCTAATACAACAACAATAACAACAAAACCAGTGTAATCCCACAAGTAGGGTCTGGGAAAGGTAGTGTGTAAGCAGATTTACTGCTACTTTGTGAAGGTAGAGAAACTGTTTTCGATAGACCATCAGCTCAGTAAAACCTAGCCTATGTTGAGCGGACTCTCCAAAATGCCGCCGCACCCGTGTCGGATCTTCCAAAAATACACTAATTTTGAAGGATCAGAGACAAACCCGGCAACAGTTTAGGAGCGTCCGAGCAACATAGAAGCTAGCTTACATTCTAAATCAAAGCAGTTTGTTAATCTATTTTGAGCTTGAATTCTTGGGGGATTTGCATCTATACCCAGATTTTGGGTCACATTTTAACTTATACCCGCTTTGCAAAAAAAATTGCAAACGTACCCACTTTTCGGGTAATTTAAGACATACGGGCCTGAAGTAGCAAAAGTTTATGTTTGAAGTTTGAACTTCAGAATGTTTTGCCTGAAGTGTAGCCTTATCAAAGCAAAACTTCAGATATTTTTGCCTGAAGTTTGGCCTGACTTGCAAAGGCAATCACACAAATTTCAGTTAATAGTGCAATGGCAAACTTCAGTTCAATAAAACTACAACATATTTTGGCTGAAATTTTTGTTTTGTAATTGCTGAACTTCAGCATTCTAGGAGGTGGAGTTTTGTTTTGTAATTGCTGAACTTCAGCATTCTAGGAGGTGGAGTTTTGTTTTGTAATTGCTGAACTTCAGCATTCTAGGAGCTGAAGTTTTGTTTTGTAATTGCTGAACTTCAGCATTCTAGGAGCTGAAATTTTGTTTTGTAATAGCTGGACTTCATCATTCTAGGAGCTGAAATTTTGTTTTGTAATAGCTGGACTTCATCATTCTAGGAGCTGAAATTTTGTTTTGTAATAGCTGGACTTCATCATTCTAGGAGTTGAAGTTTTGTTTTGTATTTGCTGAACTTCAGCATTCTAGGAGCTGAAGTTGTGTTCTGCCTTTCTTTGAAGTTAGATGGCTTTAAAATATAACTTAAGTCAAATTGTGTTGAAGTTTTAATTGATTTTTTTTGATAATGTTCTGAAGTTATTTTTCCTATCTTTTATTTTTCAATTCTGTCGCCCTTTTCTGTTGTTTTTCCTGCAGATGATATCATAAAGCAAGGGGTAAGCTAATTCCAAGAGATCGCGAGAGTAACTATTGTGTATAATAAATTTCACATGCATGTGCCATTCTTGGGGCAGGTAACTTGGAAAAGAGGACATGTAGTAGTTAGTTGCTGTTGTATGTTTAAGAAGGATGGATCAGGGAAAGACACAATTCACACCTACTTTAACCAGCTTGTGGAGTTTTATTTACTCGTCCTTCAACATAGAATATGGTAGTTGATAAGATTTAATTAAAACTTTATAGATCCAATCAATAATATTTATACAAAGTCTCATGTGTTTGAGAGAGAAAAGAAGAAGAGGAAAAGAAGAGGAGGAAGAAAGGAGCGCATTGGTCAGGAGGAAGAAGAGGAGGCGTCTGAAATTGTCAAAATTAGGGTATAGGTTAAAGAATTTTAAAAATATGAGTATAGGTTTGGTCGCCCCGTGCAATTTTTACTGAATTCTTTCATTATTGTCTTGGGTTTTCCTTTCAATTTTCCTCACACTTGGGTTCAATATTGGGCCAGGTCCAAAGAAACTCCCTTCCCAAGAAGCAACTTTCAGCTCCAACTTTCATACTGTAGCTTAGGTTATTTCAGTTAGAATCAATACTTTGATGCTGTGACTTGGGCTCCAATGAGGTGGTTGTAAATTGGGCTAATGAGCTTGCAATATTAAAAAAATAAAATTATTTTAATTACCAGTATTATGTAGGATCTAGTAACTTTGTCCATCAAAACTTAAGCAAATGAGAAAAACCTAGTATTTGAAATTTGAACACTAAGATTCCGTGATTTTCACTCACTTCATGAAATGTCTGGTCACACGCTTAGGTGCCGGAGGAGTAGATGATCTATTGAGTTCTTTAATTTTATTTTTAAAAAAATAGAAAAAGGAAAGTACACCATTTTAAAGAAGTTATTAGTTGGTTTATATCTATAGTTAGCCTGGCATAAACATTGGAGAATGTTAGAGAACGCACGAGTCGTAAACCACCTAAGAAGTTTTTAATTATTTAGGTGTTCTGAAAGATAAATTATTTCATTAACAACCTAATGAACTACTAATAGGAAATTAGCCAAAAATTACAGTACATACTTGTTTTGTAGATAAATTAAACATAAACTATTCCGTATTGTTTTTCGCAGTACACACCCACATTGGCACTATAATTCTTTTATATTATCAATAAAATATATATTAACATGTTACTTATCTTGTTTTCCATTTTATTAATCCTGCTATGAATGGTTATATGTAATTATCGTTAAGTATAAAACTTCTTTTACAGTTAGTGTATAAAGAAGTTAAACTCTTCTAAAAATAATAAAAACAAAAGCTAATCACTTCGTGATTACGGTGAAGGCGGCTATGGATATGGGATAATCACAAGTTGTAGTTACGCCAAGTATAATTATAATCCAACCAAAGATTCTTTAAATCTATATTTCTATTATAATATTTTCATAGCGATAAGCTGCTGTTTTTTTGGTCTATCGGTTTTCAGATGTCAATTTTCCTTTTATGAAAGAGACGCCATTACAAAACTATACCTAAAAATACAGCTTAAATTATACTCCATTTAATTTTTGTGGGTAAGCGCCTGTTCTACACTCTAGTAATTAATTATCCTCCATTTTTAAAAAAAATGGGAAGAGTCAAATGGTGTTTTAAAATAAGTTTGATTTATTTTCAAATTCCAATATATATGAGATTTCTTGTGTCTAAAAAGTGTAAAGACCATGCATATCATAAGTAAGACTGGAAAATATATACTAATTAATCGGAATACTATTTTGGAAGATGACTACGGCAAAGTATTATAGAATAATAGAATTTCTCAAAGACAATTTACTAATCAATTATACGAATTTATTCAATTCCTTTTTGCTTTTCTTCTTTCACTTCTTTTGTCAACTATTTGAAAATGAAAATTCGATAATGACCATCTAGCAGCTACGTTTGTCAGATATATATAAAAGGGTTGTAAAGCTCTCTGACCGTCTTATTCTTGATTTTGTTTTAAAGTTTTAATGGTGTACCGTGGGGTGTTCATAGTTCGGTTTGGACCGTTTTTCTCCCTAAAAAAAATATATTTTTCAAATATTGGAACAAAATCAAACCAATTAAGTTAATTTTTTATCAATTTGATTTATATCGGGTTTTGTTGTTTTTTTATTTTTTTGGTTATTTATCGGTTCTTTCTTAAATATGACATATATTCCGGCGACTATATTTTCAACGTAACACTATCAAACAAATTGCTCTTTGAGAAATCTATCATTTACTAAGATGTATTGATGATAATTGAATCAAATAGATAAATAATTTAAGGACTCAACTAAAATAGTGTTATAAAATATAACTCAAATTAACAATATAGAACAAGGAAAAGCAAGTTAAGAGATATATAGAGAAAGAGAGAAGAGATTCTTATTTCTTCTTCAATTGTGTGTGTGTATTTTCCTATTTATTATAAGACCTTTATATATGCATGAAAAGTGAAGAAAATATGTCATTGAATATGTCATTAAACATAGAAAATATATCATTGAATATGTCATTAAGCATTTGAGATGAAGATCATGGAGGAAGAGTGACATCCACCATAATTTGATATTTCTTATAACATTCCCCCTTGGATGTCCATAGATGATGTTCCTCGTTAAAACCTTAATAGAAAAAAAAAATCCTAGTGAAAGAAAAAGAGTACACATGTTTAGAAATATACTTTTTGGTTGCCTAATTAAAAATCTTGCAAGGAAAACTCAGTGGGACAAAACCTTGTAAGGGAAAAAGAGTACACCACGTATTAACTCCCCCTGATGAGAGCATCAATTCACATCCTTGAGCCTTCGCATCCTAATCTTGTACACTAGTTTCTTGAAGGTTGACGTCGGTAGAGATTTGGTGAACAAATCAGCCATATTATCACTTGAACGGATCCGTTGCACACTGATATCACTATTCTTTTGAAGATCATGTGTGAAAAATAACTTTGGTGAAATGCGCTTTGTTCTATCTCCTTTTATGAATCCTCCCTTCAATTGAGCTATGCATGCTGCATTGTCTTCATACAAAATTGTGGGTAGTTTGTCACACTTCAAACCACATTTGTCTCGAATAAGGTGTATTATAGACCTCAACCATACACATTCTCGACTTGCTTCATGAATAGCAATTATCTCAGCATGATTAGATGAAGTAGCCATGATTGATTGCTTAGTCGATCGGCACGATATTGCAGTGCCTCCACATGTAAACACATAGCCTGTTTGAGATCGAACCTTCTATGAGTCAGATAAATACCCAGCATCGGCATAACCAATAAGATCAGGACTGCAATTATTTTCATAAAATAAGCCCATATCGGTAGTCCCATATTTGATTCCATTCCAATGTCTCCTTGTAGGAGCAGAGCTATATCTTGCTAAGACATTAACTGAAAAAGTTATGTCAGGCCTTGTAGTGTTAGCAAGATACATTAGTACACCAATTGCACTAAGATATGGTACTTCAGGACCAACTTCTTTTCTTGAGGTTGGAACAGGTCCTTATTCACATCAAGTGATCGAACAACCATCGGAGTACTTAATGGATGTGCTCCATCCATGTAAAACCGTTTTAATATCTTTTCTATGTAGGCAGATTGATGAACAAAAATCCCATTTTTCAAATGTTCAATTTGCAAACCAAGACATAATTTTGTCTTTCCGAGATTTTTCATCTCGAATTCCTTCTTTAAATAATCAATTGCCTTTTGGAGTTCTGTAGGAGTTCCAACAAGGTTTATGTCATCAAAATATACGGCAAGTACAACAAACTCCGATGTTGTTTTCTTTATAAAAATACATGGACAAATGACATCATTTATATAACATTCCTTTAATAAATATTCACTAAGGCGTTTATACCATATTCTTCCTGATTGCTTTAGACCATACAAAGATCTTTGCAATTTGATTGAAAAAATTTCCCTAGACTTTGAATTATATGCGTCAGACATTTTAAATCCCTCGAAAATTTTCATGTATATATCATTATCAAGTGAGCCGTAAAGGTAGGCTGTAACCACATCCATTAAATGCATGTCAAGCTTTTTACGGACAACAAGACTAATGAGATAACAGAACGTTATAGCATCCATAACAGGAGAATACGTCTCTTCATAATTGACACCAGGCCTTTGTGAAAATCCTTATGCAATAAGGCGTGCCTTATAT